TATACGATTAAAAAGTCATTGTCAGCAATCGACAATTCCTCGCTGATGATGCGTTTCAACGAAAGTGCTATCGTTCACTCGATCAAAGTTGTGTCGTATCCGTTTCTCTATCGTTATTTTCATTATGATTAATTCAGAAAAGATTCGCTTTATTCTTCGAGTTAGTGCTTTATGTCTCCTTTTAAGTCATATCTCACACTCCTGGAATTTAAAATCGCTGAATATATCGGATGATGTTCTAATATGGAGATTCGCTGTATGGAAAAATCGTGCTTTTCTGGCAATTCCCAGGTAGGTAAATCACAATAATAAACTGTGAGTAAGAATCCTCAATCCGTGTCATACAATATATAATACCAAATATGTAATAATTTATTAATTTTAAAATAATCTTATATTAATATTGATTATTAATATTGATTTTTCAATATTCTGAAACAGTTGAAAAAAAATTTATAATTCTATATTTCTTTTATTGGTAAAAAATGAATCTATTATCCTCTCGTTCGATTTATTGTTTAATTATAGTAATCAGACGACGCGTAAAAATACAATATAATATAATTAATTGTAAAACACAATATTAATAGAACACAATATTAATAAATACAATTTACTGTATGTAATGTAAATTTATTTGGAACGAAAGTTAAAAAACGAACGAAGTTAAAAAAATTTGTTTTTTTTTTAATAAATAAATATTTATATTGTTACTGTCATGCAATTTGTATTGTAGATCAACAAATGAAAAACAAGAAGAATGGAAACCAACTCTGGTGGAAGTTTCTTGGCCTGAAATTAATTTGCCATTAAATGTTGCAAATGCAGTAATCTCTTCAAAACTATTCCCTAAAAGTAGAGTATCAAAGCAGGATTATGAAACTCTCATATCCGTAACTGGATTAGACGTGGATGCTCGAGGACGATTATGGGTTCTAGATGCACCCGATGGATATGATCGTTGGCCTCGAATTATCATTTATGATTTGAAACGAAATGATCGATTGGTATCTACTAAACTATACGTTTTCTCTTAATCTTAGAATTATTTACGTTAATTAAATCTGTGAAATGAAAATTAGCACTCTCTTAAAAATTTTTTCTTGTTTTGAATTAATGTTTATAATTCGTAATTTAATAAGTAGAATTAAATTTTTATTTTACTATCCACTGTACAATGTTTAACAGTTTTTACCGAAAAAAATTTGTGTAGAAATATTTTTATATTTTTAACACTATTTTTTCTATTTTTAACAAAGATCTAAAAATATTTAACCGGATATATATAAAAAAATCTGACTCATATAACTGTGCGAACAACAAAATTAATTCTAAGGTTAAATAAATTCGTATTTTTTAAATTGATATAATTTTTATGTAAAATTCTATATTTATTTATTTGTTGTATTTTATTCCATTTTAATACATATATTGTATATATCGTTTATACTTTTAGAGAACTATATTCTAATTTAAAATTTACCCCAGTAGTGAACGTTATTTATCGTCGTTTTAAAATTAAAATGATGACAAATAACGTTAGATTGCTGGATAACAAATAAAAGAGCGATTTTATAAAAGTAACAAAATTTTGCTGTTTAATCTTGCAAAATTTAATCTTGTTCAAATTAGATTTTATTTCCAAAAAAATAAATATTTGGATAATTAATTCCGTTTATTTAAAAAATTTTTAAAGGTGTCATCCACCGAGTTAACTAAAGTGTCAGTAAAACATTTAAAGTCTCTCGTAATTGATCCATTTGAAGATCAATGGGGATTTCGTGGTTATATTGCAGATGCCGGTGATGAAACGATCATTATTTACAGTTCGGGTAATTTACATACATTCGAAGAAAATTTATATATGGCGCTACAAAATTATTCTCTTTTTATGTCGATTGCGATACGAATTTCAGGATTATGCAAGTGGTGGAAATTAAGAATGTTACACGGACCCGAAATTCCTCGTGTGCAATTCAGCGACCTTGCTGTCTCTCGGATGAATTCAATTTTATATATGACAGGACATAATTCGCATGATCTATTTAGCATCAATCTGGAAAGGATTAGTACAGATAAATTATTACGAATATCTTCACGCGTATGTATTAAGCCAAGTTACTTTTTGATATTATTTGCTTTGATTGACAATATATACAATTGAGTGATATCTGTAATAAATCGGCAATTTTTTATATAAATTTCAAAGAAATAAAAATACAGATGGGTATGATTACTCCGTTATCTGCACTGTCGAAGATAATCTTCAAGATAATCTTCATGACTTTTTAAACCGCATTATATTACTTCAGGAAGTACAAAATGTAACAGTGACTTGGCTTGGGAAGAAATTAGGTTCTTCCGTAGGATTGTTTACCGATTTAAAAGACGGTCTACACTATTTTATGACTTCAGAGAGAGCCAGCGTGCGATGGAACACTAAGCTTCCTTTGAACGTAAATTACTTAATTCAATCCCCTCTAAAAGCCACATTGTGAATAATTGATTGATCTGTCCTTTCAGGCGCAGAGTCATTCGGTTCTGGTACAAAACGATGACGTCCCATGCATAACCGATTATATAATGGATTCGCGAAGAAACGTATGGGGTCTGGTAAATTCGAAATGTCCCGGTACAACGAAAAAGAATACTTTGAGTAATTCAACACTTAAATCTAGAACAATTAAAATTCAAAAGTACTATTTTGCGATGCAATAATCATATTTTTAATTTTTATAAAATGTGATAGAAAATATTTCAAAGAGTTACACTTAATTCTTTGATTGGTTTAAGGATAATTTTCTTGTGAATATTATTATTACAATATTTCATTATTCATCGCATATTTCCAATTAATATTTATATTAAAATTCTACTAAAGAACTTCTATTCTTCATCATTTAATTTCTCCTAAAGATTGATTTGTCGTAAGATTTTTATTTTTAACTGTTAATTACTTAAAAATGAGACCTTATTTTGTGATTCAAGACAGCTCTATTATAAACTGGAAATAAAGAATAAATTCAGGTAATAAAGAAGAGGAATTATTCCGGTAGTTTTAAGACGTCTTACCAAAAATGGACTAGTTCTACGTATACAAGAATTACATAAATTGATATATGTCTAAATTGATATACGTTTATATAAGTTGGCATTTATTAGTAGTTTGGTTTGACTTAACAATTACAGGTATTATGATTAATTATACATATTTCAATTATCAATTCACTTTTTTCAATCGTTGAACAGTTGAATAATTACAAGGTTTTGAAAATTCATTTTGAAACTGGCAGCTATATGCTGGCATCGATTTAAATATCGACAAGTAATTTTTACACTGGTCAACTCGTCCAAATATGGGATTTTACATAATATATGAACCTTTTATCGATCACGGTTACATTAATTATACCAAACATTGTCAATTTGCTAATTATCTATGTGACTTAAAGGAATGTTCCAGCGTTTACATTAATCGATGTAACATTCGCAAATTAAATTTACTACCTATGAGGCTCAAGGCGCAAGATGTGCTGGTTACGTGACTAGATCAGCGACAAAATAGAACTTGATCTCTTCTTATCTTTTTTTTTAACTTACAATTAGATGATGTTCCTGTATACACTATACACTATCAGTACTGAAAATCTATAGTTCATTTTACATATACTAGAGACGTATATCCTATAACAGAATGTGGCCACGAGTAATTTTATCAAAATTCTACGAGAGAGAAAAATATAAAATATAATTTGGAGAAATATATAATTTCTCCATGTATATATATTACGAGCAAAATTCGCAAGTGTTGACATTGTTCGCAATGCTGACATTATATAGCAGGCAACTCGGGCATAAAGCTCTAGATATACCAAATAGCGCAAAGATCCTCCATTTTCAATTTACTTAATCACACCAATAATACTAAGTGCTTATTGGAGTACAGACAACTAGGTCGAAAATAGCGGTCGAAATAGCCAATAGGAAGATTGTCAGCATTTCGGCTCAGATAAAAGGATTGCATTACTTTGATATATTTAGAGCTTTACTCGGGCAATGTCGACATTGCTTACTTGCGGACTTATCCGTAACATACTATCTCACTTTATTAACTTATATTGTTTCACTCTATGACGCTATTCATAGTCGATTTTTATATTTAAAACTGTCTTAAATACAGTCTTAAGATATCATAAACCATTAAAAAGTTGAACTAGCATCTTAAGACATTATTTAAGACGGTCTTAAAATAAGAATGGACTATCAATACCATCTCCTAACTTTAATTAAGATCATAAAGCGAGACACAGTATAAATTAGAGTGAGATAGTTTGATAGTATATGTACAGACAGAAATTATATGTATCTTTCTCTCTATAAAATTTTGACAAAATCGTTGGTGGTTCTGATATATGTACACGGAGAGAATTTTTTTTTTTAGAATTTATTCTGAAAACATGATAATCCTGGGACAACATTGTATTTCGAAAAATTTTATGTAAATTTCTCTCATTCAATAAAACTATATATAATAAAATATAAAATAAGTGAGTTAATTTTACTAAAGTGCATGTTAAAAATCTTTAAAATATTGTATCATAATTATCATATTTTCAGGATAAATTAAAAAAAAAATTCTCTCCGTGTAGAATCTCTAACATATATTAGAGATTTTCAGTACTAACAATACATTGGAACACAGCCTTAAGCGAAATGTCGTATATTTCAGTAATCATCTTTTTATCGCGGAAAAATTTGATTATTTTTTCGATTTAAGAAATTGGGACTAAAATTAATTGAATTCGTTTCGATACCGTAAATAATGGAAAAATATACCTAATCGTCGTGTCTTCCATTGCCACTCCATAGACATTATTTTCATGTATCTGTTGCATCAAAATACAAAATATTTTTTTTAAATACTAATTTCAATTCCTTTGCTTATGAGACATCGAATTATATAAATGAATGGCTGCTCTATAATTTTTAACGAATGATTTCTAGTCGTCGCAAGACTTAACCAGGGGATGAATTCCCACGGAAGCACCCGAGCTGCTCACGGTGTTCTGTATATAATCCTGGAAATTGCTCTCGATTACCCACATCAATCTCTTATTGGAAGGAACCACTTGAGTTGGCAATCGGCAATCGTTGCCCTTCTGTACTAGGAGGAAATTTTCCGGTATGAAGGGTGTCTCAGTGTTCCACATGTAGACATCAGTTTCGCCTAAAAATAAATAAATTATTCTTCTTAATTAGACATTTAAAGAATGGTTGCAATTTACATTGAAAGCAATTTGATGGTAAAAGCAATCGCAAATTATTTTTTAAACTATAACTCTGCCACGCAAACTTTTTTTCATTTTGAGAAATACAGAGAAGATCTATGACTGTTCAATTATTTTCTTTATATTTAATTTATTTATATTTAATTATATAATTTAATTATATTTAATTTATTTATATTTAATTATATAATTTAATTATATTTAATTTATGCTTTACGAAAAGAAGAATCTACGATACTGTACAAGGATTGATGCATGCATCAGATTAAACAGAGAACATCAACTTACCCTTATTCCTGAAGAAAAGAGCGCAGCCATTGTCGTTTCCGAGGAGAACGATCTTGCTTTGCTTCGATCCAATATCTATAACTGATCCTTGAGAGAGACCACGTCTCAGGTTCTCAGCCTTGATCGCGAAGAGCCTGTTGGATCCCAGATAAGTGAAATACAACACTGGCGTACCGCAGCTCTTCTTCACCAGCGTTGAGTAGAGAACATCTCTCCGTTGGACACCGGTGGTAACTGCATTCGGAAGGATCACTCGGAATCCTTTATCCGCGGTGACATTGTAAACGATAATGGATCTAGAGGCTGCGTCGGTCACGTACACGTATACCTGGCCATCGTCCGCATAATCGATTGTCAAATATTGCAGACGAGACAATTCGTTCACCAAGTAACTCAAATTGATCACTTTTACAACCTGCGGGCACACCATGTCTCAATATGAATCATTTATTCCCACACCAATATATTTCTACATATTTCAATATATCATGAATTTTAATGAAACACTGATGTAAAATATTTGTGATTAAAAAGAAAATTATTAAAATCAGAGTTATATAATTTAGATCTAAAAAGGTTTTTCTATCTTTCATATCAAGGCCTAAAATTAATTAATTAATTAATTAATTAAATTTAATTAATTTAGAAAATTTTTATCATTGAATTTCTTTATGTTTTTTTTCTTTCTCAAATAATTAAAGTTACTTGAGATCAAGACATCTCAAAGACAAGTGCTTCCGATAGCTTTTTTTCAATTAGAAACAATAATAAATTGTTATATAATTATAAAATTATAATACGTGAATTTTATAAATCTCTATCTTATTTGAGTATTTCAACGTTATTAATCATTAATTTCTCGTACCTTGCCGGATTTTACATCAATTCCGACGACTTTGGGAGGACACCTGCGCACTGGTTGCTCCAAAGTATTTACGATACCAACGTCCAATACCCACAAGATCTCTTGAATGTCCAGAATTATGTCTACTACGCTCTGCAGGGCTTTGCAGTTGCCCTCTTCTTGGATCGCCCAGCAGGGGAATGCTATCACCTTCGGAGTGCAATCCTTCTTCTTCAACGACATAACACCCAGAGTGAATGGCACACCCGGCTTGTAGCGTGGCATCGCTACGATTGCATCGTCCTTGTAAATCTGCGCTCTCGTAGCAATAACATTTCTGGCAATGTAACGTCCGCTCGTCTCGTAGATGTTCTTCGTGTCCTCGCTTGGCCATTCCAAGCTGTGGCCTGATAGGATGAACGATAGCTCCGGCAACAATTGCTTGTCGCATACCACTGACGATAACCCACTCGCCAGAATTATCAGGCACAGAGCGCTCGTCGGGATTCTCATCCTGCGCTCGTTTTTTGTGACTTGAAATAATGTCCCGATGTTCTGAAGAAACATAATACACAACAATTTAATTGTTAAATTACACTGGAAACAATATCCTACAGATAAATTTCTGAAAATTTCCAAGCCAAAAGATAGTTACTAAAGTAATAAAATCGATAAAAATTAAATTTGATATAAATTTTAATAAATAAATACGTAGAATACATTTGTTCTTCAATTATACGAATTTAAATTT